GGGAGCCCAATATATAAAAAGATATCCAGAGACCCGGGGGGGGGGGGGATTTAGCCGCATACAGACATTTACACATTATAAAGCCATCTCGTGGCATGATAAAATACTTGGAAGACATTCAAGTGATTTGTTTTACTGGATTCTAGTAAATTTTCTTTGATCCATTCATATCCGCGTGTGACCCGGCAGACTCCCTTTTTCAGAGGGACTGGCTGCCACAAAAGCTGGATGAACTCTGGGATGAGCGGATATTGTCCTCATACAAGGGTCATGCGTGTTCTTCCTGAATCTCGGTGAGCTTTATATATTTCTCCCAGACCTGTGCCGTAATCCAGTGTGAGACTTCCTACAAAAAAGACCGGTCACTGCTGCTCTCTCCTTATGCAGGGTGACTGGTCTGGTCTCCGCCCCCTCCTGTAATAGAGACTGGTCACTGGTGCTCTGTCTTGTGCAGGGTGACTGGTCCTGTCTCTGCCCCCTCCTGTAATAAAGACCGGTCACTGCTGCTCTCTCGTTGTGCAGGGTGACTGGTCTGGTCTCCGCCCCCCCCTCCTGTAATACAGACTGGTCACTGTTGCCCTCTCGTTGTGCAGGGTGACTGGTCTGGTCTCCGCCCCCTTCTGTGATAAAGACCAGTCACTGCTGCTCTCTCTCCCCTTGTGCAGGGTGACTGGTCTGGTCTCCGCCCCCCCTCCTGTAATACAGAACGTCACTGCTACTCTCTCCTTGTGTAGGATGACTGGTCTCGTCTCCGCCCCCTCCTGTAATAAAGACCGCTCACTGCTGCTCTCTCTCCTTCGGGAGGATGATTGGTAGGGGTACACAATTACCGAGTACTTGTACTTGCCCAAATGCTCCGATAACGGAACTTACGGTGAGAGGGATATTCCCTCTGACCGGCAGTGACGCGAGGGACCATGGAGCCTGCTTTCCGGCCAATCAGGAAAGCGTGGGCGGTGAGTCATTACACGGCCAGGAAGCCGGCTCTATTCTCACTTGTCACCAGGGAGCCGGCTTCCCGGCCAATCAGGAATGCGGGTAATGGCTTGCGGTCCTGCTTCCTGAGTGGCCAGGAAGCTGGGGGCAAGTAAACAGGGACTTGCTGTGTTCTCCCCCCTCGAGCGAACAGTTTGTGTTAGACGCAGCCCCCGTGCCAGGAAGGTAACAGCCCCGGTATTTCAGCGTGATTTCAAAGCACAGCCTCTAGGCACAGACATATGGCGGCTCCCGGTACACAGGTTGGGAAGCACAAACTGGATCTAGGTAGCCCATTCTGATAACTGGGCTACCTAGATCCAACCTGCAACGCACCATAATGATGTGAATGGGCCCCAACAGAAGCATTTCCTGAACACGAGTGCTAGATGGCAGCTTGCTCCCTCCAGACTGTGTACTGTAGACGCCAGCTGCATCATTACTGAGAAGCAGATGGCAGCACAGCTAACCAACGTGCGGCCATTCCAGTCCTGCCGGCCAATCTGCAGCCAACACAGGCTGCAAATAACCAATGTACACATGAATATGTATGTAGCCTACATTACTAGGTCAGTCTACAATGAAAAGACTTTCCATGAGTCATGTTACTTTAAAACGCTGAAAGGGGAACTTGCAGTTACAGAATGAGATCTGGATTGCACGAGCTTATGAATGATAGCTAGAAGAGCAAATAGAAAACATAGCAGCCTCAGTGTCTCCGTTCTGTTACTGGTCTGGAAATGAAGTAATACACCCAACAATAGCAATGATAGGTGTCAGACTTCTGTTCATAAAACATCCAGTGATGTCGTATCTTCCCAACCTTAGCCATGCTAAAGAAGGTGCCACCCAGCAATGTCTCATCTCCCTGACCTTAGCCATGCTACAGAATGTGCCACCCAGTAAGGTCGTATCTCCCCGAGCTTAGCCATGCTACAGAAGGTGGCACCCAGCGACGTCGTATCTCCCCAACCTTAGCCATGCTACAGAAGGTGGAACTCAGTGAGGTCGTATCTCCCCGACCTTAGCCATGCTACAGAAGGTGGCACCCAGTGAAGTATCTCCCAGACCTTAGCCACACTACATAAGGTGGCAGCCAGCAATGTAATATCTCCCTAACCTTAGCCATGCTTCAGAAGGTGGCACACAGGTTGTATCTCCCTGAGCCACCTTCTGTAGCATGGCTAAGGTCAGGGACATACGACCTCACTGGGTGGCACCTTCTGTAGCATGGCTAAGGTCGGCGAGATACGACCTCACTGAGTTATGATTTTTAGAAGCATTGTATTTGCTCTTCATTAGCTTAGTTACTGTAACGAAGTTAACGCTACAGAGGTGGCAAGCGTACGAGCTACAGAAACTTGCTGATGAAATATCCTCACAGCTGACACAATGGGTTTATTATCAGGGATCTGCACACAGCACATAACTTAGAAAAAGAGAACAAGGCGGCCGCTGCCTGAGAAAAGGAGCACATGACAATCGTGGTGAAAACCCTCCAAGAAAAATACGAGGGCGATAGTCCTCTGAACCATGGGACGCTTACACCAAGATGCCTTTCTCCTTCCATCGGAGCCCCACAATTATTTGTGGTGGGGCCACTTCTGAGCAACCGCATGCACTATGTTTAGGAAGTTAGGGTTGTGTCACAACTGAGAAGAAAATAAAATTTAAAAAAAGGCGCAAGGGAACCCTGTGACGGACTGAACCATCACCAGGGCTGCTGGAGGAGCCTGAGGGCTAGCCTCCTTCCTACAGACCACGGACCTAGAGCTGCAGAGATTTATTACCCCGGAGAACATTGTGTGCTGTGTGTGTTTCCAGTTTAATATTTCATCCAGAGAGAGAACTTGTCACTATTTGCCTTGGTGTGAACCATTCTTCTAAAGGCAGCAGGCTGTCTGGAGTGACCATTGTTTGCAATGATGGGATTAAGCTCCTCTCTGATTAAGGACATTCATCCCAAAGAGTGTCTGTGCTTAAAACACTTCTATTGCGGCACCTAGCTGTCTGGGGGAGGGGACACACTGAACTCTAATCTGATCCGGTGAGGTATAAACTCGGGGCGCTTCCTTCAATAAAGTCAGATCTTGGTTTCCACCTCAACATTGGTGTTGGCTCTGTCCAATAATTAGGAGGTTTGGGCTGATGACACTGGGATTCGGGTTCCAGCGGAGAGGAAGCTGATTTCTGACGGAGGTACCCAGTCGGGGTACCAGGCGGTCCGTCACAAACCCGAGAGAGGAAAAGCAAAAAAAGGCGCAGGTGAAACCGAGAGAGGAAAAGCAAAAAAAAAGGAGCAGGGGAACCCGAGAGAGGAAAAGCAAAGGCGCAGGGGAACCCGAGAGAGGAAAAGCAAAAAGGTGCAGGGGAACCCGAGAGAGGAAAAGCAAAAAGGTGCAGGGGAACCCGAGAGAGGAAATGCAAAAAGGTGCAGGGGAACCCGAGAGAGGAAATGCAAAAAAGGCGCAGGGGAACCCGAGAGAGGAAAAGCAAAAAGGCGCAGGGGAACCCGAGAGAGGAAAAGCTGCAGAATGAGAGAAAAGGCAGAACGGAAAAGAAAAAAACCCAAGATGCCACAGGGTCACTCAAGAGGTCTCAACACAAACTGGCAGCAGGTTGAAGCACTAAGAAGGGGTGACCACCAAACCCCCAGAACTCTATGTAAACTGTCCACTCCTACACAGACGGGTGTCACACATTTACAATGAAAGCAGAGAGCCAACAACCCCAAATACAGGTAGAAGCAAGGAACAATGTGACGCACAAGGCAGGAATGGGTTTCACTCCACATCCGCAGATCTATAAACCAGGAACACCAGACAGATAATTCCTCATAATAAACAAAAAGGTGAGGGGGGAAACCGGCAATAAGCCAAAAATAAAACGGATTACCTTGATTGGTAATCCAGACAATACTAGAAGCCCCCACACTGATATCAAGAAAAAGAATTTGGGATATACCCAGTAAAATACAAGTCCACCACAGATTGCTGTCCCCATGAGGTCCTCATAGAAGGGTCACCTACAGCTGGACTCAATACCTTTCACCATCTCGTGGAGTCACGAGGCGGCCCAACTAAGTACTGATGGGGTGCTCATAATAATCTGGCCACTCGGTGTATAAGATATAATGGAGTAAAAGAAAGATATTACATTCAGAGTCTGACGCTGCATCTCCAGGAGGAAATACTAGCGAGAAAAAAAGATCTTACGAAGAGCATTTTAAATCAGAACGCTCATGCTTTCATTGTGCCTCAGGAAAGGGTCTGACTGGATACTGGAGATCTCTTTAGCCCGTGTCCACAGCCGTCCAAATCTAATAACGGCTTTAATGAGCCGCGGGACCCTTCAGATTATCAACGGCGTACTTTGAACATATGATTAAGTAGATTGAAGACCCGAGTACAGACTGTAGACGTAAGGAGACCATGTCATCCCCTCAGTGGAAAACACGCGCACTCTTATTATACAGAATACTTCCGTTCCTGTAATTGCCACTTTTATAAGATATTACTCAAGAGTCCAACTGTAGAGTCCACGCTGTTCATGCAGAATAATGATATAAGTACGGCCCTTGTTAGAAGTAAAGCTTTTCCTTCTTCAGTTATCCTGCTTGATGAGGTGGACCCCACTAGTTGGGTGCAGGAATCAGGGCGATCTGAGGGGTGAAGGTACGGCAATCGAGGCGATCTGAGGGGTGCAGGTGCGGCAATCGGGGCGATCTGAGGGGTGAAGGTGCGGGATTCGGGGCGGCTGATCTGAGGGGTGAAGGTGCGGGATTCGGGGCGGCTGATCTGAGGGGTGAAGGTGCGGGATTCGGGACAACTGATCTGAGGGGTGAAGGTGCGGGGTTTGGGGCAACTCATCTGAGGGGTGAAGGTGCGGGATTCGGGGCAGCTGATCTGAGGGGTGAAGGTGCGTCAATCGGGGCAACTTATCTGAGGGGTGAAGGTGCGGGATTCGGGGCAGCTGATCTGAGGGGTGAAGGTGCGTCAATCAGGGCAACTGATCTGAGGGGTGAAGGTGCGGGATTTGGGTCTGATCTTCTCAAATTTTACCTTTTGCAGCCCCCAGGGTCCCGTGTGTATGAGCCCTTAGGGGCAAATTTATAAAGCAGTGAATCTGACTTTCACTACGGTCATTAAATAACCATGCACCTTGCATATTCACCTGCAGTGAAGGTTTGGTTGAATGTCAGTTTTACAGCTCAATGTGGGAACATCTAATCTAGACATACACTTTAAAAATGCAGATTGCAATGTCTCTCAGTTACATGGAGAGGAGGATGACCATGACCCGCTGTCAGTCCGGGTGCAGCCAGTCCTCCTGGGATCAGCTGCTTCAAAGCATCCTCCATGCAGACAGAAGGCGATCCCTGAGTTGGGACTTAGCCGGTGAATGTATGGATCTGCAGGTGTGTTCTAGGCAGAGCAGCTGGTCAACACATGACCAGAGCCCAGGTATAGGAGATCATATGGAAGGAGGACCCGGCGGCCGGGGAGGGTCACAACTACTACCTGCCGATGGCTTGGTGCTTTCACTCAGGCTGCGGCTCCGGTGCATGGAGCCCATCATGTCTGTCCGTCCCTCCGCTGTGTCCTCCGCTGCTCCCGGGTTCTCCGTCCCATCAGTACCTCACACAGCCCCGCACAGAGTCCTCTTCGCGTCCCGTCAGCTGACCTGCTTTTTGGCTGATCATATGACCACACCCAGGCACCGCCCACTAGCGGCGGAGTCACCAAGCCACTGCCGTAAAACCACGCCCCCTCATCTCTGCGCTCGTTCTTTATTGGTTGCCATTGATGCGTCATAGCTGAGCTCTTCATGTGTGGGGGAATCATAACAAAGCCGCAGCGCATGTGTCAATGCGCACATGCGCAGATGAGGGAACTTTAGCAGAGTTGTGTCCTGAAAATGAATCTAAAAAACAAATATTCATACACAGAGCTACAAAATAGGGATATCATTCCCTTAGTAAAAAACAGCCAATCACAGGCCGGGAAAATTATAAAAGAACAGTATTTTTGGTTGCATATGATTGGATGATGGATGTCAGCTGATCGTCACCTCATTGGATTAGCTCAGGCTCCAGTCACACCTAGGTGACAATGTTTTCCTGCGTAGTATGGGCATTTTTGCGCACGTACATTAAAGTCACGCGTTTTTGTGAGTAGAGTACAATGGGTTGATGTGAATGGACACGCGGACGCAGAAGAATAATTGCAATGCGCGTTTTCACATTGCACATTCAACCCTTTCGCTGCCACCGACGTATGTCATTCAGCGGCGGCAGCGGGCCCCTTTAAACAGACTCTGTTTACAATTGTAGAGCCGACTGTCGACTTTAAAATGGACGCGATTCCAACAGCTCAGCTGCCACCATATCGCATCCGGGGGGCGGTAAAGTAGGGTTGCCACCTTTTCTTCAAGTGAAACCCGAACACTCTAGCGCCGCGTGTGACAATTTTTTTGTGTGAAGAATATAGAGGAGAGGCAGCCAGGGGAGGGAGTAAGGAGACTGTCTATAGAGGACTACAAATCCCAGCAATACATTATACAGCAATCCAAAATCATATGCAGCCACATACTTCTGTGTTAATCTGGGTTGGCGCCCAGATGTCTCCAAGTCAGGGATCCCAACCTGAAAGAAACAATTTCAGGGAGGTGCCCTTCTCATTTCAGGGAGGTGCCCTCTGCCCCCCTCCAATCCGTGGTAGGGGGGGGAGCACCCCCCTGAAACGATGGCAGATAGCAAGGAAGCTTTTTTTTTGTATTCTAGCAGCTGCTGCCCTCAGAATAATATTTTTTTTAAAACAGCATAGGAATGAATAGCTTGATTTCTATTGGCCATTTCAATTTGCAATATCCAATAGCAAGCTGGCTATTGCACCCTCCCTCTGCTGCTGTCAATCACTAGAAGGGGACCTGATGGAGAACTTCAGGTCCCCCTCTGCTGATTGACAGCAGCAGTGGGCGGGTGCAATAGCTATTGCAAAGTGAGATAGCGAATAGGAATCTAGCTATGCATTCCTAGGCTGGTTTTCTTTTTTTTTCTGACTGACGGTACCCCGATGTCAGAAAAAAAACAGAGCAGGGAAAGGTTAACTCTGCTCGATCGAGCAGAGTAAACCTTTCCGGGAGAAAGTGTTTCTCTCCCGGGTGGCCGGGAGCCGCTATCCAATAGCGGGAGACTCCCGGAGCGTCCGGGAGAGTTGGGATGTCTGCCAAGTGCATTTGTGCAGGCTCTCAAATGGATGTGTGGCTCTACGGTGGGCTGTGCGCACTCTCAGGTGGGCTATGCGGCTCTCACGTGAGCTGTGTGCTTCTCAGATGAGCTGTGCGCCTCTCAGGTGGGCTATGTGACTCTCAGGTGGGCTGTGTGACTCTCAGGTGGGCTGGGCACCTCTCAGGTGGGCTGTGCACCTCTCAGGTGGGCTGTGCGCCTCTCAGGTGGACTGTGTGCCTCTCAGGTGGGCTGTCTGGGCTATGGTGTCCCACCAGGGGTCCACAGGCGGGCAGCACGGTGTCAGGGAGCCAGGGGAGGCTGTGACGGACTGAACCGTCACCAGGGCTGCTGGAGGAGCCTGAGGGCTAGCCTCCTTCCTACAGACCACGGACCTAGAGCTGCAGAGATTTATTACCCCGGAGAACATTGTGTGCTGTGTGTGTTTCCAGTTTAATATTTCATCCAGAGAGAGAACTTGTCACTATTTGCCTTGATGTGAACCATTCTTCTAAAGGCAGCATGCTGTCTGGAGTGACCATTGTTTGCAATGATGGGATTAAGCTCTTCTCTGATTAAGGACATTCATCCCAAAGAGTGTCTGTGCTTAAAAGATTCCTAATGCGGCACCTAGCTGTCTGGGGGAAAGGGGGGGGAGACACTGCACTCTAATCTGATCCTGTCAGGTATAAACTCTGGGCGCTTCCTTTAATAAAGCAGATCTTGGTTTCCACCTCAACATTGGTGTTGTATAATGATTGAGTGGGTTAGCGTTCTGTCCTAATATATTGGTTCTGTCCAATAATTAGGAGGTTTGGGCTGAGGACACTGGAATTCGGGTTCCAGCGGAGAGGAAGCTGATTTACGGACGGAGGTACCCAGTCGGGGTACCAGGCGGTCCATCACAGAGGCGGTTAAGGCAATGACAGATGCAGCTGCAGAGGTCCCTGGTAAGCGCTATCTCGGCAGCTCAGAGGAAGATCTGGTTTCAGGCAGATGGGGCTACCCGAGATTGCATTTGTCGGGGACCTCGGCAGCTGCATCTGTCAGAAAATTAAAATTGTGGTGTCCGGGTGTCCTCTGCCTGGACATCCAGACACAAGACTCCACAAACAGACTGTCCGGGTGAAAACTGGAAGCGCCCGCCCCACCTTCCCCTCCCCCCCCCTGCCTGACACCCCTGGCATGTCGGGTGTCAGTGGGAAGCCAGGGAGGAGACCAGCGAACATCCGTTCACCGATCTCCTCCCCACTGTATGGGACCGGGAGCGACACTAATTTCATCACCTCCGGTCCCTCAGCTGTCATTACTCGGCTCCAGAAGCTGAGCAATAAGTTATTGGAGTGCGATCAGCGCTTCAATAGCTTATTTAAAGTAGAAAGGTGACACTGGGGGGTCTTTTGGAGTCCCTGTCACCACCTGTGTGCTATAACATAGAGGGCTTGTAAGCCCCCCTATGTGATAGCAATGGATGGACCTTCCACTAGGATCTTTAACTCTTGGCGCTAATGGCTGCCAGCTGAACAATCCACTTGCTGTTGCACACTCAAAGTTTTCAACAGTTTATCACAGTTTTTAACGCAGACTTGAGGGGCTGCTCATCCAAGGCTCTGGGGCTCCCACCACGTACATAGAAAACAAAAGGGAACAGAGCGCCACCTCCGTGTGTAAAATCGTTTATTACAATAAATAAAACAAGGGATAAAAGTACTCACAAACAAACGTTTTCATCAGGCTTTAACAACAAACAAGAGGCCACACTGTCTATTAACCCAACATGGTATCGCCCCGACTATGTAACAAAGTGGCCTCCGGTCACATCACCGTCCACCGGCCCCAGTCAGCCAAGATGGACGCGTTTCAGGGGCAAGCACCCTTCATCAGAATCATCGTGTGGCCTCTCGTTTGTTGTTAAGCCTGATGAAAACGTTTGTTTGTGAGTACTTTCATCCCTTGTTTTATTTATTGTACTAAACGATTTTACACACGGAGGTGGCGCTCTGTTCCCTTTTGTTTTCCACTAGGATCTGTACGCCTTGCTAGAAGTCATAGTAGGATCATAGTATAATAACTGATAATCAGCATGGATTTAGGAAGGATCGTTCTTGCCAGACCAACCTGCTGACCTTTTACGAAGAGGTAAGTAGAGATCTGGAGGGGGGGAGGCCGGTGGACGTAGTATATCTGGACTTTGCCAAAGCATTTGATACGGTGCCACATAAACGCTTGTTATACAAGCTGAGGGCTATGGGCATAGATGAATTAGTGTGCACGTGGATAGAAAACTGGCTACAAGAACGTGCGCAAAGAGTATCAGTTAACAGCACCTTCTCAGACTGGGCCGAGGTCATGAGTGGCGTACCCCAGGGTTCGGTGCTGGGTCCCATGCCTTTTAACCTATTTATCAATGATATAGGGGAGGGAGTAAGAAGTCATATCTCAGTGTTTGCTGATGATACGAAAATTGGGAGGGTAGTAGACTCGGATTTAGACATTGTAACATTACAGGAGGACCTGGAGAAAATCGGGGAGTGGGCAACTGTATGGCAGATGAAGTTCAATGTCGATAAATGTACGGTAATGCACCTTGGAGTTAAAAATAGGCAAATGGACTATATACTTATGGGTGCGCCACTAGGGAAGACGTAAACAGAGAAGGATTTGGGGGTCATTATAGACCGCAGACTGAAGAACCACTCGCAGTGCCAGACTGCTGTAAATAAAGCTAGCAGGGTCTTGTCTTGCATTAAGAAGGGAATGTCTTGCAGGGACAAATCTATGATTTTTCCACTTTATAGATCACTGGTTCTGCCACATCTGGAGTATGTGGTCCAGTTTTGGTCACCAATACTCAGAAAAGATGTCCTTGAGCTGGAAAAAGTCCAGAGGAGGGCAACCAAACTCATTAAGGGGTTCGAGGATCTGAACTATGAAACAAGGTTGTTAAAATTAAATATGTTCTCTTTGGAGGTTAGGAGATTAAGGGGGGGACATGATTTCCATGTATAAACTATTCAAGGGTGACAGCAAACTCAGTAACAAACTTTTTACGGTCAGCTCTGTAACAAAGACCAGAGGGCACCACCAAAAATTGGTGGAAAAAAAATTTCACCACACAGGGCGCAAGGGGTTCTTCACAGTTAGAGCGCTTAAGGTCTGGAACTCGCTGCCACAGGAAGTGATTTCAGCAAAGAGTGTGGAATCATTCAAGAGACTCCTGGACGAGTTCCACGGAGACCATAATATACAGGGGTACAGGTATTGCTAAGAGAAAAATCACACATGGACACATTTACATGCACACACCAGCTCATAAATACATACACGCAATAGGTTGGACTTGATGGACTTATGTCTTTATTCAACCTCAAATACTATGTAACTATGTAACTATGTAAGTGATTATACTATATTACC